TTTATCCGGGTTAAAAATAGCATTCAGTATTGAAAGTTAACCTGTGTCCATCACATAAAAGACGTAGGTAACATTTTTGAGATCAAATTTAGGAAAAAAAGTGTGTCTTATATGCCATCATTGTCAAACCAGATAATTAGCCATGATAACTGCCCTTCAAACATGGTTTTTATATCTTGTGAAAGATCAACTTCATTTGACGTCAAAAATAGCTGAAATATTAAAAAACAACCTTTGCTTGCATTTTTATTCAATTTTCTCCTCCATAGTTTGAGTTTTTCATAAAAGTTTAGATTTTTCCCATTAACTTCGAAAGGTGCATGCTTTTCCCCTGCAGATATAGATTGAGGGAATTCAATTTTGAAAAAAATGCCACATAAATATGTTAGTTTTATTAAAAAATTATCATCAGCAAAATCTTCTGCATCTTTGTATCTTTCTCCTTTAAGGAAAATAAAAATTTCTTGCCACTGTTCAAAGGTACATGATAAAATATTAACACGAGAAAGCCATCATGAACTGCTGTAGCAGAACAAAGACAAGTGTTCGGCTCCCATATTCTCCCACAATTAAAAAAAAAGAAAAAAATCTTGCTTTCAATGGACTAGATTTTGTAAAATTTACCACATTCACTACAGACTAACACCTGATTCAGTGCAAGACTCAGATGCTTTGACATAAGTGCTTCTTTGTGAGTAATGCAATGGGACCACAGTGCACTTGGTGATTTGTTTCGAAGAAGTGCCTGTAATCCTCCATAGCAGCTAGATAAGGAGAGAACTCCATCAGTACAAACATCAATGCATTTAGACAAATTAAAATTATTTTCAGATATGGATGCATCAAGAATCTCTAATAGATCCTGAGCCTTCCCTCCTACAGTGATATGTTTTCAAAACAAAAGGTCTTCTTTAATAATATTACTACCTATCATTCATACATAGCATATCAAATGAGCATCCTAATTATTATCCAAAGCCTCATCTAGCTGAAATCCAAATTCCACTCCTTTAATTTTTCAATTAATTGATCGTTGCTATACTCTAACACATGTAGAATACTCCGACTAACTTTTAAAAGCAGCTTCTCAGTAGACTCACCAACTATGATGGTCATCATATCTACAGCAGCTGGTAGAATAAGTTCTTTTGAGAGGGTATGAGGCTTCTTATATTTCGCGATTCAGTAAGCCACCTTGTAAGATCAGATGATGATGCAGTGTTAAAAGATGTATTTGTTGTTGTTTCAGTTATTTTAACTTCCTGGCAAAACAAATGACTGGGTATGTTAACAAAGCTGTGGTGATTAGCTTCTAAATGCCACTTCAATTTAATTGGAAGCATACAACTCTGCTGACAAAAACTTTCATATACAATGCACATTGCAGTTGCTCTTCATCATTAATTTCTGTTGATGTAAAACCAAACTCTAAATAACTGTCATCATATTTACGATATTTTTGTTTCTTCATAGTTATATCACTGGTCACTGGTTGAAGACATACTTTCTTTACCTGCACTATTCAGTTCTTACTGTTCAAATATTGTTCCATTAAAGATGCAAAAGCAAAAAAAAATCACAAAACTATTTATCAAAGACAACAAACAAGAAGTAAATATAACACTATCAATACTACATGAACTAATTTATACCAGTGTTCATTTATATGAAGCGCTTAGTTTAATTTCACAAGATTTAGATTGTAAACCCACTGACTGAATCAAGATGGCAAAGTTTATATGCTTTACACAAGATCCTCCAGAACAGACCAAATCTGTCGCGAAGGGTCTAGGCACCTCAACGTGTTTATGCTACAGGTCAACCTAAGTTGAGAACATTGGATATAATAGAAAGTGTATGCATCCATCGCAGAATATAGTTCTAACATTTCGAGATGTTATAAAAATTATGCTATGAAATATAAATATAAATGCATTGCTTGTCCAGCAAAGAGAATGGAATGAAAAAAAAAAAAAAGGCGTGAAACAATAGACTATGTTGCATCCAGCTTTTTATTTAAAAATTTGCTGATTTCATATCAATCATTCAATGATCAGGAAGACCTCTTTTTTGGCATTAATGAAACTGCAAATTCCAGTAACCCTGATCTTACCCCACTTTCGATGAGAAACACAAATAAAGCATTCATTCATTCACTGACAGGGAAGAGAAGAGAGCAACTGCTATGGCATCTGCTTCATTTTGACATACGTGTATAATTTCAAAACCACCTAAGGCTGGAAACGACTACGCAATTCCACTAAGATTATCATTATGAATATTTTTGTCAAATTACGGGAGCATTTTCCTAATAGATCCAGCAATGACATTGTTACTTTTGCTGCTTATCTGAATTGCTTTCTGTGACAAGCATAAATCGCTTGATATCTGATTGGAAAGAAAAGGGATTTTAACCCCCCCCCAAAAAAAGAGCTCTGAAAATCAGTACATGCAAACCCAAATCAAACAATATGAATAGCTTAACTTTAGCAACAATACAAAGAAAAGTTCACAATTTCCTTTTATGGAATGAGCTCATGAAAAGGTCATTCTAATCTTGTACGTGTGTGACTAATCTCACTTGTCTGACGGTAACATCAAAATAAGCCAATGAAATTTATTGTGACAAATGCAAGATTGCCCATCATTGGCAAGAGCCTCGAGCACCATACAGGTGACAGAACAACTTCCTTCACTCCCACTCCCCCCATTTTGATGGAGATCACTATGGAAGGACAGGTCTGAGAGTATCCCACTTCTCATTCCTTACCACAAACCTCAAGAGAAGGACTTTCTTTTCTCCATATATTTAGAGTGTCCCCATACTGCAAAGACACTGTACATTTACAAACAACCTTGCCTTCTCTTGGATTCAAACCCTGGCCCTTCGGTTCCCCTAAACACTATACCATCTGGGTGGCCTTATATGTGTTCTCAGGTTAGATTTCCGCAAGGTATAGTGTGATCAAAAATGTGCAGCACTGCCATCTCGCATTCACAAAAATATTCTATGCAGATGACTTTAGTTTCATACACGGTTAAATAAAAACAAACCACACCAAAAACTGTACATTTTTAGCTTCACTTTTTTTTTTTTTTTTTTTTTTTTTTTTTTTTTTTTTGTTAGATGAAATGTCTTGTTCAATAAATTATGAAGCTTTATTTCATAGTGCTCCTGTGAAAATGATGCATCTCCCCAGGGCGCCGCAGCACAAAGTTTGGGAACCACTCCTATAAAGAATTTGTGGAAAGCTATCTTCACGCTGTTAACTAATTACCATATTTTAGAAATGATTTATAAAAGGACAATAAGGAATGTTGAAAGAAAATGCCTCCATCATGATTCAAGTATCTCACTGTCAGTGGAAACTGCTGTTGCTTTCTGAATGTTAAGTGAATCAACATGCAACAAAATAGATACGTATATATTTTTTTATTGTATAAATGAAAAATTATACGATCTAGGGACCTGCTGGACAAAAAATATTTTACAAAATAAAATAATACAGTCAAATACCAAAAATCCGCCGACCTGAAATCCGCATTGCCTCTCAGAATATAAACATTCAGGTTATAAGTTTCCGGAAACCGCGACATTGATACAAAATATCAAGAAAAAAATACTTACCAATAAGACGTCATAATTAACCGTATAATAACGAGTCAAAAAAACAAATACCAAATTATTGATAATACAAAGGTTTAAAAAAAAGATAACTTTTAATTTTCCCTCTATCTGCATGGGTAAACAGCAGACTATTCACTCACTCTTTGTTCAAGTTCACGATTCACGTGTTTATTTTCCTGAGCTTTTTATTTCCTTTCACTAGATGTTTATGCGCTTTTTTTATCCAGATAATTTGTGGATAATTAAGAATATTTTTAAAAAATTCAGCCCTGTTTTATACAGTGACAGATAAGAAACGCACTCGGTGGATTTACTGCTTGCAACGTGAAACATAAACACGTTGCATGAGGGAACGGCAAAAAGTGCAAATTCTGCAAAAGATGGAAGCAGGTGGTTCGCATTATGCAGAATGGTTCGGAATTGCGACCGATTGTGTATGATACTGGAAAATAAAGAAAGTTTGTTGAAATTTTATGCAACGTGGATTCTAACACCGGAATAACGAAACCGAAATCTTTGCATGAGCAAATCGACAAACATCGATCTGTGTACATAAAATACAATGAATAATATATCATTTATCTATGTAATAATTATTGCAATTAATGTTATTAATATTAATTAATGTATCTAATACACATTATTCATTTTGCACTTTTAGTCTGAATATTATGCTTTATCTTTTCTGTCCTGAAATCCGCACAACCTTTGGTCCCAAGCTTTGCGGATTTCTGGAATTCTACTTTATAGCATTTAACATACCGTTGAAGTGCTTGGCATAAAACCCTCTAGATGCCTAGTCTTTAAAGATGACATACTTGGTAAGTGATCCTCTTTAGAAACTGAACCTAGAAATGGACATGACAATGAATAATTATTCACATAAAATACTGTTTGCAAGCACATTAACGCGACTTTTCAGCTATTTTTTCATAAGTATAAAAACTAAACCATATAAAACTGAAATTTTAAAAAGAAAGCTCATGAAGAAATAATTTGAATATAACAACCTTCATTGGTTACTCTTAACCGTGCAATCTTGGGGTCTTCCACTAATAATCCCAGTAAAACCATGCTCTTAGGATTCTCACCATAACATAAAGCAATAAGCGGTAGTCTTTTCCCTCCATCAGACTTGATAGACTTATATATAGAAAGTAGTTTCCTGTAATGGAAAGTGATAATTTAGTTACTAATCATTAAAATATGCTAAAAATCACATTTTCTAAAAGGACACAGCACTTAAAGCTCGCTTAAATGAAAATCTAAAAACCAAATCAAAGATTTATAGCTGGATTAATTTCAAACAGGAAAAGGAATGGATAAGCAATAAGTAAAAAAAAAATAATATTTTGTTGCTTTCGGTTTATTAGTCTGAATATATGTAGCACTAAAGTAAGAAAAAACAGGTTTTAAAAATATGCAAGTATTACACAATTTAACTAGACTAATCCTCTTTGACAAACAGCTACTTCTAGAATCCAGTTCTGCTGCTTTCAGATTCATATCCTTTTATTCCATCTCCAAATTTGTTAAAGAATACCAAGTGTAAGTTCATCATATATATTTGTTTTCTGATTTTTTCTTGCTAGTCTCGTGCTATTTCTGACATTATAGTAAAACTGCAGTCGGTCCATCTCTTAAAACTTTTAGTTTACCATCCTGGAACAAGAGGAGGAAGAAAGAAAAGGAAGGAAGGAATATATTTATGACATGAAATTTCACAGATTCTCAAGACCTACAGAAAGAAAACATTTTAAATTAATAAATTCGTAGCAAGTATATTTAACAGAAATAATTTTACAAAACTGTTATAACAATACTTTATTCACCCCTGTTTCACATTTAATGTACTGTGTATAGACAAAAGTCAACTGAATTCATTTACTTATATATGGAATTGTCCATATAACATAAACCAGGGATTTTCAACCTGTGGTACGGAAGAGAAAAATAGGTGGCACACAAACAATGTAATTTTTACTATTAAATTCAAAAATTAAATACCCCAACATCCCATTTAAGTTTATTTCTCTAACATGTAAATTTATGCAATTTGAACTTTGTTCAAGGTCAAAAGCCACTCATAGACTTTAGCAAAATAATCAGTTTTTATTTTCACAAACATTCTTTTAGTACACATAACAAAATTTGTCATAAATGATGATTTTAAAAGGAGTAATAGAAATAGATGGATTTTATAGGAAACAAAAAAAAAAAAAAAAAAAAAAAAAAATCTATAAAAAGATAATCTCATTAATTAATTAATTATCTCATTAATTTTTTTAGAGTTGATTCAATATTTTAGCATGTCCACACTTTACGTCACCACCATTTTCAGGCTCGTACTGCTCTATTTTCAATTAGGATCATTCTTTTTATGTCGATTTCCTGTGTCTAACAGCATGTATTTTGTCTTGTTGCTTTGTACTTCTAACTTTTCTATGCAGTTTGAGAATAATGTCATTTGTTTTCGAAGAACTCATAATATATTCTGCAATTAAATATTTGTGAAAAAAATAATAAAACAAACCTATATTTTCAAAATGAAAAAATGGCTAGGACTGACTAAGTGGAAAACTGATGATTCACAGGTGATGGATTCATAGCAATCTACTAGCCCTTAAAATACTGGAAAGAAAAGAAAAATTGTTTATAGAAAATACAATAAAAGTTATTTATCATTTGGGTTTACTTGGAGATGAAATGGACCCTCAACCTCAATATGTGTTTGCGGTGAAGCAAAGAAAGAAACCATCATTTCTGAAAAGACATCTTGAATCTCAGCATACCAATTTAAATGATAAATCTGAAGAATATTTTAAGACGAGATTATTGGAGTTCAAAAATAGCAAACAAGTAAGGAAGGGATTTTTTTATTACTTCAAGTGAAAAAGCTTTGGAAACTAGTTATCTAGTAAGCCTAAGAACTGCCACAGGGTTCATAGCCACATTTTAGTTAAAAAAATAAGCACCTATAAGTACTTTTCAAGCACATTTAAGGAAAATAAGCACCGTCTATTCTTATACACACTGCATCATAACCTAAAAAAATTAGACTTTAATTTAAAATATGAGCAATGCAATTTTATTAAGAGAATGAGCATACCTCAAACTATGGAAACAATTAACTTTTTTTTAAATTTTAAATGACATTCAATTTACAGAATTAGTTTACAATGAGAGGGAAAAAATATGCAGAAAACTAATACAAAATTTAATGAAATATTTCAGTGAAAATACAGAAAATAAATAATAATAAGCCATATTAATTGTATTCATTTGGCACCTAATAATAAATATATTTATTTTCCCACTCATATTAATATTAAATAATTCACTTAAATCAAAATTCTGAACTTTTCTAAATTTTCATTGCATAAACAGTTTTTCCCTTACATATATCCCAAGCAAATAATTTAAGTAAAAAGAGGACATTTGAACCCGAAAACGGGAAATTGCTTCATTCAGTCATCTTCAACAGTAAAAGCGTAAAAACTAACGCATACTCGGAATTCCCGAATATTCCGGACAGTACTGGAAAAAGAGGAGTGGGGGAGATTGTAGCTGTTCTTTAGTTTAAATTTAGGCTAAATAAATGATTTGACATTTCAATATGTGCATCACATAAAAATAGACCAACAGAAGTGAAAAATATTCTGCTTAGAAAGCACAGTAAAACTCTTTTAGGTGTTCATAAACAAATATCAGACTGAACATCAAAATTAATTATCTTCGCAAAATACCGCAAAAGTTATTGCGCAATATGTTATTGCGATAGTGCAATACGTTATTGCGCAATACGTGCGGCGTAATTCTTCCACATGTGTATTACGCAATCGGAATCAACAGCTACCGGTATTCGGAGAATAAAGAAGTAAATAAAAGAAAAGAAAGAGACTTACCAATCTGGGGAGTTTCTGATTCTAATTTTCAACAGACTGCGTTAAATTTCCGGAATAGAATCAATCTTGCTTGGGTTGCGTAGACCGCAAAATTTAGTCCGTACAATCCAGATTGGACAGTGACAAAAAAAAGTCTGCTGCTTCAATATTAGAGATTTTGCGAAAAACTCCTATCCTTCGTCTGTATAATGTATTGGCAAGAAAATGAAATTATTTTGATTTATTCAATTACTTCCTTTTATTTAACCCATTCCGAATATTATTCCTTAAAAGCTCTGTAAAATCACACCCATTTTGGGAAGTTTATCTAGTATACTCAGCAGTTACTGCAACTATATTATTTATAAATATTCATTACAATGCTCATAATATAAGCATAATGTCATAATAAACACGAATATGAACTGACCACGCGGAACGAGGAATGCAAATTATTAAAATCTTGATAGAAATTCAAAGTGTGTAGTATTTGGGGGGAAGAAAGAATACCGAATGTACCGGAATTTTCTCGTTTTCGAATGCTTTGGCCATAGAACGACGTGCACCTGTCTGTACTCCGCACGTAACCATAGGTTACATTAATGCAGAGGAAGGGGGAGCAATTTTCGGGAGTATGATGCACCATCTGACGTGCCTATAAGAAAGAAAAGTTATTTAGTTTCGCTTTAGTAACGGGGAAAAAAAATGCGCGTTCATTAAAAACAAAGGATTAAAAAAAAAAGCACTTAAAACAAAAAATAAGGACTTAAAGAAAAAGTAAGCACTATAAGGGCCTTTATATTTTATTTTCAAATATAAGGACTTATAAGCACTTGTAAGGACCGCTACGAACCCTGTGCCACACTCTTGGAGAAAACCTTATATTACCAGAGCTAAAGATATCGTTTTAACATTATTCAATGAAAAAGTGGCTAATGAACTTTTGTTCAAATGTACCTGAAATTTTACCTCGTGAAGAAAAAGAGCAACTGATAGAAATTTCCTGTAATTGAATTCTAACTAAAATTTTAAAAAATAACACACTTGTTAACTTTGGGCTGAACCGAAAAAAAAGAATTTAAAGGCATTCCAAATAAAACTATATTTGATTTCTTGCACCAACTATTCATGTAAACAAGGATTTTCTTCCAAGTTATATTTGAAAAATAAGTACAGAACAAAATTAAAAGCGGACCTTAATTTACAGTTAAAGGTAAGTGAAATAACACCTGACATAAAGAAACTGATCCTCTTAAACAAGGCCAAATTTCACACTAAATTTTGGAATTAAAGCATTATAACTTAAATTTTGATAATTAAAATAGAAACCAATTTTTAATTTAATATTTTTTCATGTGCATATTTAATACAAATAGCCAACGGGTTGTGTAAATGGCAGTTTTTTGTAAAATATTTCTGTTGAGAAACTGAAAATAATCATTGTAAAATGTAGTAGTGGTACTGAAGTTTTTCAATTTTTTTAGATGGTATGCAATAGTCAAAAGGTTGAGAACTGCTGACACAGACATACATTCTCAAGTCTATAAAAAAGATACATGTATGTATTAACATTATTGAAGTGCTTTGGTGCTATATGAGTGAACAGAAAGAACTGAACACATCAGAATGGAACATAACTGGGGCCCACAAGACTAAATATTTTCAGTCGAAATTTCTGTGGAGTTGAATGTTCTGCACAGCATGCGTCTTTAGTGAAAAATGTTACGGTGAAGTGAAAATCCCATTAAAGTTTTCAATTTATTATCCTAGTACATGCAAAAAAACTGGGTAAACCTGGACTTGTTAGCAAACTCCAAGAGCTACCTTAAAAGTCATTTGGGACTAGTGGCCAATGACAGGACTATCCACCAGGAAATTATTGCTGTGTTGGTGTTAAGAAGGCATTGAAAATAAATGCTAAAACCTAACATTTTGGAATGATGCAACAGGAACTCCATTAAATATATCACTAGAAGAGTGCCCTACAAAATACTGAGTCTTGGCATATGACCTAGCATTTTGATGGTCTCAGGTTTCTCAATATCTGTAATTCGCCAAATTACTTTGGGCAATGATGTGCATACCATGATATGGCAACCGTTTTAAGCAGGTCTTTTCTTGTTTAATTGTAACAACACATCTATTCACAAACCAAGGTCAGCCAATGATGTAACTTATACGCTTCATTTCTTTTGCTTAATGAAATTCTCACAGTACTTCACTGTTCTTGCTAGATCAAAGTACTGCTGTCTATTTGTAATGCTACTGCCATCTTCTTGAGCTTCTTGTCGTACAAGCAGCAGACGTGGTATGTTGATAGCTCAGGGTCATTATCTTGCATACCCAACATGAATATGATACTCATCCTACACAAAATTTTTAATACAGCCTTCCTGGTTTTCTAGTAAACAGCCTAATACATTCAAACTAGCTATCTAATAACCAGACATAAGAGGAAAGATTCTGCAACATGTTTTCATATCATACTGTACCACCAATAGTTTGCAGCTCGATGGGTGATCATGTTGGGGCTATAACAGTTTTGATGCCAATCAACTAGAACCAAAAGCTTCTATGATAATTAAGCTGACTTAAGTTATAAATTTTTATGAAAATGCAACTTGAAAATAAAAGAAAAAAGCGGGAGAAAGATACATCACAGTTAAGGGGATACCACTTGACACAAACATGAATACTGGCACAAAATGTAACTGGAGATAGGAAGCGAAGCGTAACTAGGATGTAGCTCCTTAATAATAATGGTTGATTTAATTAAAGCAAAAATAAATATTAAAAAAAATGAAGACAAATGCAGAAATTCATAATTAAGAATGCATGTAATTATTCCAATCAAACAGTTGAACAATTCTTCATTCCTAGTTGCAGGTGACAGAATTCTATCAGTGTAAGCTTTTGACACCAGAAGTAAATATACTAAACACCTAGAAAAGGAATGCCTTACACTCTAATCCAGCATCCTTTCTGTAAACATTTCTTCTTGTAGCAGTATCTTTTGCTACAGCTCCCTTTCAGTGTTTTGGTAGGAGTAAAATACAGTTTCCCTTTGACGATTTCAAATGAAATCTTTCAGTATGGATAATACTTTTATCTTGGAAGAATTAAACTGTGACAGCTTGCTATTTGGCAATAGCCAAATTATGAACACACCATTGATTTTTAACTAAAAAAATTACTACTTTAACACACACACACACACAAAAAAAAAAAAAAAAAAGAGAGAGAGAGAGAAAAGGGAAACTACAAAACAAAAAATTACTCCATAGATGCTCAGTCCCAATGATATCTTTGTATAGCTAATACAGTAGAAGTCCACAAATCCGCAACGCTTGGGACCAGAAGTTGTGCGAATTTTAGGATTTTGTGGATTTCAGGACAGAAAAGATAATATTCAGACTAAACGTGCAAAATAAATAAGGCGTATTAGATACATTTAATTAAATTATTATATACATTAATACAATAATTAACTATATGCATTAAATTATTATTAAATATATAAACTGATTATATTATATTGTTCTTAGACTCCTCTGTTTTTAAATCAGCATGAATCTGCTTCCTCTTTTCCCTCTAACAAGCGAGCTAGTCTAGCCCCTCGTTGGCGTGAACGAACTTCATGTAAGGAGTAGTCTTGAAATAGTTAACCCATCACTCCACCACTGCCAAAACCATTCGTACGAGACAGCATCGAGGTTTGCTGATTTCGGCTCATGTAAAGATTTCCGGTGTTAGAATCACTGTTGCTGTAAAATTTCAATAGCTTTTTTGTTTCCGTATTCATACACGTCGTTGGCAATTCCATATTATTCTGCTATAAACCGAGCAGTAGCACCTGCCCCCATCTTTAGCAGAATTTCCACTTTTTTCATTACCGTTGATGCAACTTATTTACGTTTTTCAACGTTGCAAGTGGTAAAATCACGAGTGCTTTTCTTATCTGTCAATGTATTAAAAAGGCGCTGAAATTAAAAATATTCTTAATTTATCCACAAAATATCTGGATAAAAAAAAAATTACATCACTAAACAATCTCGTGAACAACAACGCGAAGCTCGAACTTGAAAGAAGAGTTGAGTTAATCGTCTGCTTTTTTACTTCGATGCAGATTGGAGGGGGAAAAACTCTTATCATGATGTCAATAATTTGGTATTTCCATTATGACTGATTATTATTCGGTAATTATGATGGCATTATCCAGTAAGTATTTTTTTCTTCGATATTTCGTACTCTATGTTGCGGTTTCCGGAACCTATAAACTGAATGTTTATATTTTGAGAGGCAACGCGGATTTCAGGAGTTGGCAGATTTTCGGTATTTGACTGTAATAAGATGATACACATGGGTTACAACATTTGGCTATAGGTATATGGATTGGTATTGATTTGGTACAGGATTTTCGACTAGCAACCCATTAATCAGAAAGTACCAAGCATGTTTACATTTTCTAAAACAAATCTAATGTTAAGTCATGCCACATTTACATTCACACATCTTTCTAAAAGTAATCTGACAAAAGAATTACATAGCAATATGAAATTATTACATTATAATCACACATTTAACATTAGATAAAATTAAAATAAATTAATTAAATACTGAAAAAAGCTCAAGATAATTTATATGAGACTAATATGAATACTAAGATGCCAATATTTTATTCTGTTGCCATTCTAGACCAAGTAGTAATGCATGAATGATTTCAGTACGTGTTTAAAAACTTGTCAACTTGTTTGAGAAACTTTTTTAATATAATTCTGTGTTACAATTTAATGAAAATTTTCTCTGTAAACTACCTTTTTAATTTTTTTTTTTTTTTTTTTTTTTGTACTGATATAAGATTTACTTAATGTTTAAACCTCATTGAAAAGTATAACAAGTACCATACAATATTCTAAAATCAACTTTTGTATTACTGCACTGCTTTTATTCTTTACTCACCTTCCTATACTGATATCTAATGGATGAAGAATAAATTCTGAATTCCCCATTTTTTCAAATAGCAATTGAAAGTCTGGCATTTGAGGCAGCTCATCAGGATTAGGTGAAATTTCCCTCCCCTTCTCAGATGATGTTGAGCTATGCCTTTTCTGTGAAAATAAAATTTATGAATTCATTATTGGACAAACTATGATGTATCCAATATACTATATATTGCAGCTGAAAGACTTAAAACTTTATTTTTGGCAAACCTATCAACAATGCAAGTAAATCTTAAAGAGTGTGCTCCTTATGTAAAACTAACTACATTGTTATATGTCAGTAGTTAAGTCTTGAACATATGCTGACAGCATACAGTAAGGGAGCTTATAGTAAACAAGTAATTCCTACCCAATTAAGCTAAAATGATAATTATATATCATTATATGAAAGTGGTTTCTAATTATATTATACTCAGGAAAATTGGGGGGGGGATACTGGTTCCTAAACACTGCATTTTGAAGAGCAAAGAATATCCAATAGTGTATCAGTTTCAATTCCATAAATTAAAAATTTCTCAATGTCAAACTTGTTAGTACATGACTTGACTCTTCTTTAGAGATATACTAAATGAAAGGTTACGGCAAAGACCTGGATCAGTAATGAATCAAACAAATGAAACAAGCCCTGCTGTCATCACCAGAAGACACTTATTTAAATCAGAGGGAGAAAGAGACAAAAGAAATAGCTGAGGCAATTTAAAAAATGGGTGTAATTAAAGGATAAAAGAGAAAAAATATTTATGCAGATGACCAGCCACCCAAGTATTAACCATCTTAGAGATTTAAAAGTGAGCAGCACATGTTCTAAAAAGGATATAAACTACTCAGGTTTGATTGAACAGTTACATACAAATATTATTTCATTGTAAAATGTCAAAACAAAAGTAAAATATACAAAAGCTATCGAAAAACATGTTTCTTATTATTGTGCAATATGATAAAGATCCGTTTTTATACTGGAAGCTCACATAGCACTGTGAATTTAGTACAAATTTATTGAAAAGTGAAGTGAAGAAGATCAACTGGTCTAAGCGAGATAGAACAGAAAAGTAATATATATTTTATGGATCAACATATCTGCAAGGCACAGATCTATTGATGATCTATTGAGATAAAGTTTATAAAATATTTTGGGGTCATTGATATTTAGTAGAATGCAGATATTTGCATATCAAATTTGTATTTCTGTCTAAAATTTAATCTGTATATTATTTTCCCTCAGTTATACATACAAAAAAAAAACTTTACATAATTTACCCGGCTTCTAGTACTTGTCAATGTTTACACTCTTCGTTGGTTGCTGACTGTTAAATAGCCCAAAAGAAGCAGCAACAATCCCAATTGTAGATCACTTAAAAATCATAATTACTCAAAGTACATGTGCATTTATACTGAAAAAAAAATTATAATATAGATGTCCAACTGAGTTTAATGCACTCCAGAATTTGAAACATTACCCTTGACAATTACAATAACTAGAGATTGCTGATATTTAGCCATGAACTACTACAGATGATTAAAGCTGAACGATTAAACTAAATTAAATGATGAAGGAGACAGAAGTTATCTGTCTATTAGAAGGGATGACTCTGTGAAAGACTTTGTAAGACAAACTGATTTGTATTCCTGTTACACATGGGAAAAATCACGAAACCCCCATGCAGTCAACCTATTTGCCAGGAACTGAACCCTGGACAAACTATCAGTTTTTAGATTTCTTATACATTCTGCACTGCTTTGCCACCATTTTTTAAGCTTTGCTATGTACTTCAGACCTTGACAAATGCAGATAAAATTATAAAGCAGTTTCTAATTCACATACTTCTGACTATACAAATATACTTTTGCAATGAAGATCCAGCGGACTGCTAGAAGCAAAGTAATAATCTCCTGGGGCCAGAGATATTCCTGCATAGTGGCATCAAGCTACCATGGTACACGACTGTTGCCATGGACTCCGCAAAAGGTCAGCCTTCACTAAAGGGATAACAAATCAGAATGCAATACTCTTTCTTAAAGGAGATGGATAAGAGGAAACACATAGTTTATGTACACTAATTAGAAATAAAGAATAAATATAAAGAACACACAGATTTAAAAGTTCTACGTTACATTAAGAATATGACTAAGATATAAATGACATCAAGCCATAAGTTTTTTTTTTCTCCCCAGTTCTGGCAGGAAATCCTGTTTTTGCCCTAATCAATGATTTGAACAACCAGCCATTATTTATGCCAATATAAACAGAGTAACAGCTTCAGAAACATTTAATATGGGAGGAAGGATAAAGAGAAAATTATTTTGACTTTCAAATGTTAATTTATTATTCATGTTTTCAAATGAGAAACAGGTGAAAAAACTAAGAATATTTTTAAAGCTACATATTTTGAAACAGTTTGATATTCTTTTTAATAATGGCAGTTATTCTGAAAAATGTCTACACTCATCCTGCAATATTGGCATTGCTTCGAAAACATTTACGAACATCCTTAAAAATCTACAGCAACAATTTTGTTAAGAATATATCCTTCTCTGAAGCAGTATTAGCAGCTTATATGCGGCATTGACTCTTCGCTGGACATGATGTAGAAACTGTATTGCACCAGATGGCGCTGTGTGCGCTTGAATTCTTCGCACTAGTGCAGAACCTTGATGATAGCGAAAGATGTAACACCAACGCGAAACATTAACCAAAGTTTATATGTGCTTCTCTTTGTTGTAAATGTATTTAATTGTGTCATCAATAAAATATAGAGAAAATGATAAAAGGCGAGAATGCATCTGACAGGTAAGTGAGATTTCTTCATATTTTGATTTGGATTGAGTTTTAGCGACAAAGAATGTATATGCGTATTTACAAATTCTTTTGGTATGCCGAAAATCCCAGGAAGAGACCTTTAGATAAAGTAAACTGCGAACCGAATACTGAAAAACGTATTTAGCGAACTTGAATATTTTAAATTGTTATGATGGAATATTGAAGCTTTAAAAAGGATTACAGAGCACCTGTCAGACGAGCGGCAACTGACACTATGAAACTTGTTAGAAACTGAAATAAACAACAGGAAAGCTCAGTTGATTTAATTGATGAACTTTTAGCGAAACTTTTAGATAAAGAAGCTTAATTTAAAGTATCTTAACGAGGAAATTCTAAAACTGTGCAAAACGGAAAGAAATAGAAAAGGAAATTGGAAAAACAGCAAGAATATAATGATAATATTATTACTTGAAAATTTACGCGAATAGAATCCTGAAAACGAAAGAAAGCGAAGTTGTTCGCGAAACTGAAAGAACGAATGTTGTAGAAACCAGAAGTGAGCAGCGGAATACAGTAAAACTTCTCGCTTGCAGATACCTCAATACGATGGCAATATATTAAGGTTTAACGAATTTTATTCTCAGTTTGAAGTAGCTATCCATAAAAATGTGAATCTTAGTAATGTAGAGAAGTTTAGTTATTTAAAATCGTACTTAACAGACGAAGCTGAGGTAGCTCTACGTGGTTTAGTAGCATTAAGCTCTGAAAAACTATGAAATTGCCTTGAACATATTAAAAGAACGCTTTGGTCGAAAAGATATTATTATCGATGCGCATATGGCAAGACTTTTAAACGAAAACTTAAGTCCAGTACGAAAATCATATGATGTTGTAGCGTTGCGTAGACTTTACACAGAATGCGAAACACATATTCGAGGATTAGAAAATAACAGAATTAATCCTAATAGTTACAGTTGTCTATTGTATCCAGTGTTGTTAAAATCGATACCCAAAGATTTGTCCTTAGAATTTTCTCGTAAAACACATTCGGAAGATGAAAACAAAATATCTGATTTATTGGAATTTTAAAAAGATTGAAATTCAGTGTCGTGAACGTAACGAGTACTTAAGTAGAGACTTAATTTAAACACACTTCAGATTCGCGATAGGAAACTAAATTTAATCCTTTACAAAAACCTAATCAAAAGTATGGGAGATTTAATAAAACCAAAGTTGAATGTAAGCGGGAAAAATAAATTAAATTCGAACATTCCTACTACTTCTGCATTTATTGTTGATGTGAAAAAATGTATATTTTGTACAAAACCGAAAATAGAGCACGATTCTACCTCTTGTCCCTTATCGGTAGAAACAGAGAAAATTAATTCTTAGAAAATATGGTATATGTTATGCTTGCTTTCGAAGGGGCACGTATATAAGCAGTGTCAAAAAGAAATCTATTTGTGGAATTTGTAAACGTTTTATGCATCACGAATTGATTTGCGATCAACCCAATGTTTATTCTTCTTCCCCCGCTCTGGAGTCTCGTCAGACCGTCGACGCGAATAAATTAAATGTTGTGTCTTCCGTAGCATGTGTGAATGAATCCGATGATTGCGACATACTACTTGAAACTTGCTCGGCAGTATTAATAGGCAGTAATAAAAGCAAAGAGATTAATATTTTGTTAGATAATGCGTCACAGAGATGTTTTTTGAGAAAAGAAGTAGCCGTAGAAATGAAACTACCCATAATTAGACAAGAAAGTCTAGCTGTTTACACTTTCGGCTCTAGAGTGCCAATACAAAAAACGTATGACGTAGTTCGGTTTTCACTTTGTAATTTATGTGATTCGGACAAGAAAATAACGATTGAAGCACTTTTGACTGACTGTATTTCTGGATCGCAGTTTAAAGTATCACATAACAAATTAATGCAAATACTTTCGAGGAAGAACATTCAATTGTCAAACTTAAGTAAATCGTCAGGAAATGAATTGTCTCTGCTTATTGGAGCACAGTATTTTTGGGATATTCATACGGGAGAAAAACAGCGATTAAACAAATCTTTGTATTTGATTGATACTCTGTTTGGAAGGGTTGTTCAAGGTCGAATCCCTCCATCAGATTTAAATGCGAATCGGGATATTTCTATTATGAAAATTGAATGTTGCGCCGCATTAAATGAAAAACTAACGCAGTTTTGGCAGTTAGATTCAATGGGGATAAATGATACTCACAGTGGAGATTTGAAATTTAAAGAGGAATTTATTTCACAATTCGAAAGTAATTTAAAATATGAAAATGGAATGTATACAACTAAATTATTCTGGGACGGTAAACCAGAAAACTTGTCTAACAATTTCGCGGTAGCAAAACGAAGATTTCGTAACTTAAGTGTAAAAAATGAAAGAAAATGATTAGGTTTATAATGAATATATAGTTAAGGAGCAATTAAAACTGAATATCGTTGAAGAATGTCCTTTCGGCTTAGAAGAGAATTCTTATTATATGCCTCATTCAGCTGTAGTAAGATCGGATAGGGACACTACGAAAGTCAGATTAATTTTGGATGCATCGTCAAAAGGTAATGGGTGCAAATCTCTTAATGAATGCTTGAATCCTGGGCCACCGTTGAATCCCAGAATTTTGGATGTAATCTTGCGATTTCGCGAATATGAATATGCATTCAGCTGTGATATTCAGGGAGCATTTTTGACCATAGGAATAGCGGAAGAGGATAGAGACTATTTACGTTTTTTCTGGTTTCCAGATGAAAGTGATTCAAAAACTTACAAAATTTTACGAATGACTCGCGTTCCCTTTGGAGTGACATCAAGCCCATTTATCCTTGCTGCGACTATTAAATACCACATTAGAAAATATAAACTTGAACAAAGCGAAACTTGTGAAATGCTTGACTCGGCACTTTATGTAGATGATCTTTTTTACGGAGCAAATACAATAGAGAAAACTTTAGAACTTTCACAGAGCGCTGTAAAAATTCTTAAAGATGCGAACATGAATTTAAGAAAATTTAATACTAATTCGGATGAGTTGAGAAATTTATGGAGTGAACGAGGTTTGTCTGATGTGACAGAAACTAAAGAACGTCCTTTGAAGGTTTTAGGCATAATATGGAACACCGAAGAAGATACTTTTAAGTTAGATGTAAAACCTCTACTGGACATGACCTGTGATAGGAAGAATTCAAAACGTAGTGTACTTCAGACAGCTTCGAAGTTATTTGATCCTATGGGAATTGCATCACCTTTTATTGTTCTCATAAAATTATTAATGCAAGAAATATGGGAACTTGGTTTAGGATGGGATGATGAGCTATCAACTGACTTGAAGAAAAAATGGGATAATTGGTGCTCTCAGATTTATCTGTTGAAAGATTTGACAATCGAAAGAAAATATTTCTCCATACCATGGAAGTTGGTGAAAGAATTAGAACTACACATATTTTCTGACGCTTCTCCTAAAGCTTTCGGAGCAGTTGCGTACTTCCGTTACGTGTCAAGTGATGATTGTATTTATACAAGTTTTATCACTGCGAAATCTAGAATCGCACCGCTTAAAAGGTTGACATTACCGAGGCTTGAACTTATGGGAGCTGTTATTTCTTCTAGACTTTTCCAATATTTGAAAACAAATTTTAAATTTCCTGTGCCTAGGGTATATATGTGGACAGATTCCTTAATCGCTCTTCATTGGATTAAAGGGAAAGCTTCAAAATGGAAACCTTTTGTATCGAACCGTGTATCCGAAATCCAGTCTAGAACTGATCCTGCTGATTGGAATCACTGTAGTGGGCAGGATAATCCTGCAGATTTCATATCTCGAGGAGCTACCGTGGAAAAGTTTATGTCCAGTTCGATTTGGATGCAAGGTCCAGAATGGCTTCGGTTGAAGAAAAGGGATTGGCCAAAAGGCTCTAATTATGAAATTTGTCTAGAGATTTCTCCAGAAGTATATTGCGAAAAAAGAAGTAAACTGGAAGAAGTATCGTCTTTTGTGTGCGAAGTGCAATCGAATTTGACACATTTAATGGATTTGAATAGATATAGTAGTTTAAGAAAATTATACCGTGTTACAAGTTGGATACTACGATTTATATACAACCTTAAATTTAAAACTAAACGATGTGGTGAACTAAGCACTGAAGAACTTAACGAGGCTGAAATTATCTGGACAAAAACTGTTCAAAGTGAAGCTTTTGCGGAAGAGCTGTCCTCTTTGAGACAGGGTAAAACAATTTCTAAGACTTCCTCTATTCTAGAACTGAATCCCTTTCTTAATAATGACGGGATAATGCATGTTGGTGGAAGACTTCAGAAGTCAAGACTTTCTTACCTTCAAAGACACCCAATTATTATGCCCTCAAAACATCACTTTGTGAATTTATTAGTGTGGGATGCACACAGCAAAGTGTTTCACGGTGGAATTTCTGAAACTTTGATAGAAATACGCGAAAGATACTGGATAATTAAAGGAAGACAAACTGTTAAAAATATCTTAAGAAAATGTATTCTGTGTAAACGATTTAATTCTTCTCCTGGTGTGCAAGTTACTGCTCCTTTACCAGTAAATAGAACAGAAGAATTACCTCCTTTTTCTGTAGTAGGTATAGATTTCGGTGGACCACTTTATACCAAAGACAGTGATGAGAAAAACTACATCGTGTTGTTTACTTGTGGAGTAACGCGAGCTCTTCATTTAGAGTTTGTTGGTAGCATGACCACAGAAACATTTCTTCTTGCTTTTCGACGATTCATTGCGAGGTCTCGAGGTCTTCTCAAGTTTTGACGGACAATGCCAAAACTTTCAAACGATCAGAACTTGAACTTAAAAATTTGTGGACTGTCATTAGTCATCCAACAGTAAAAGACTTTTACGCCTCCCACAAAATCCAATGGTGCTACATCGCTGAGAAAGCTGCGTGGTGGGGTGGCTTCTATGAAAGACTAATTAAATCTGTAAAACTTGCTTTACGAAAAACTCTCAAGAAAAACTACTTTATCTCGAGACGAGTTAGAAACTCTAATTATTGAAATTGAAGGTGTTCTTAACTCTCGTCCTTTAACTTATGTTTATTCTGAATTACAGGAACCTATGCCTCTAACTCCAGCTCATATGCTATTGGGGCGCAGGGTGAATAGTTTGCCTCCTGCCAGGCTTCATTTTGATTCTAATTTAGTTAATAGGAAAATGCTAATTAAAAGATTTAATTATCGAGAAAGATTGGTAAGTATGTTTTGGAATAAATGGAAAAATGAATACTTATTAATGCTGAGATCTGTTCATTGTGTTAAACCTTCAGGTAAAATTACTGAATTTAAAGTTAATGATATTGTATTAATTCATGATGAAAAGCTACCTAGACATTTTTGGAAATTAGGAAGAGTTGTAACAGTATTTCCTGGCAGAGATGGAAAAGTAAGGTCTTGTGAAATTAAAACAGGTACATCAGTTATTAAAAGACCTGTGCAGCTTTTATATAATCTTGAAATAAATGAATAAATTTAATTGTTTATTATATGTTTATTAATCTGTATTATTGTTACAGGACTATTCCATATATGTGATGAAAGTTTAATGTATGTACAGGTATTGAGTTGCCAGCTTATTATCTTTATTATACTTTATTGCAGGTAACTTTACAAATTGTTTAAAGATGAATGATTTGTTTATATAGTAAATAAGTGTAGTTTCTTTAATATGTGAATTGATTGAACTTTACATTGTAAGAGTTTCTTTTGTTAAATTTGTATTAATGTAAGTGTTTGAATGAACCCCTGGTCATTCGGGGGGCAGTCTGTAGAAACTGTATTGCACCAGATGGCGCTGTGTGCGCTTGAATTCTTCGGACTAGTGCAGAACCTTGATGATTGCGAAAGATGTAACACCAACGCGAAACATTAACCAAAGTTTATATGTGCTTCTCTTTGTTGTAAATGTATTTAATTGTGTCGTCAATAAAATATAGAGAAAATGATAAAAGGCGAGAATGCGTCTGACAGGTAAGTGAGATTTCTTTATATTTTGATTTGAATTGAGTTTTAGCGACAAAGAATGTATATGCGTATTTACACATGATATCAATTTATTAATAGTGACACTCAAAAGGATTTGTCAAATATGAATACAAAAGTTGCTTGAAAAGCATCTAAAGCCAAGACAGATTTAAAAAAAGCCTAAATTTTAAAAATTTATAAAATGAATTAACTTACCTCTACAAAGCAAACACCAAGAGATGTCTGAAAAAGGCATCCAAGGGGGTTTTGCCAAGGAAGTAATTTTTCCAGCAACAAAATTTGATATTTTCCCTTCAAAAGAAAAATAACAAATTAGATAATGGGAATGTTTCACATAAATTCATATTAATTTTATAATTGAAAGCAACTAAAATATTTAACAAGAGTTTCTATGCACTCTTTTCACTACTGGTAAAAATCACTCTCCCTCTTCTAAAACTCAATATATATAAACATTTATTTAGATTATTTTTCAGCATACTTCATAAATGAAACAACAAAAAGTATAAAAAATTTTGATAATTACCAAAACTTTTAAAAAAGAAAGTTTTTTATATTCATAAACTAAAACTAAATACTAGGAATACTAGTCTAGAAATAATAAACTAGGAATAATAGTCAAGACCCATTAATTGCAGATGTCTAGTCACTTTAGATTTCAATTCATAAATTAACATCTTTGTGACTAGTTGCTGCTAATTTTTATTTCTGGGAAGTGTTCATATTCCCTCTGATAAACTGAATTCCACTAGCTTTTCATTAGAATTCAGAAATTAAAGCAAACTTTTTTTTTTTTTTTTTTCAAAATTATATCAATTGTCACTGGAGTTTACTCTTTCTAATTCAATTTACCATCTGCAAGGTTAAGATCTTAAAATATTTAATGTCATCACATAAGTCTTTACAGAGCTAAAATATTCGTGATCAGTGAAATAGTAGCTCTCAAGATATGAGCTACAACCCACTGGAGAGGTCAGGAGACAAATTTTTGGTGGTTTGTGAAAAACTTTGAAGTACTGTTCAGCTTAATGTGTAACTGCACACATTGTTAACAAATGAATATTTTTATTTACTATTACTTCAAAATTACATTATTTTTTCCATCTAATCTCTTCCCCCTATCCCTTTCAGAGCAGTTTATTGCGTGTGAGATACAAAATATTACAACTCTATGCATACAGGCCATTATGAATCATAACTATATACATGAGGGTCCTAAGATTAAGATTATTGCACTGCAAAAGATCATTTGATAGATTATTTGTGACAATGCATACATCATCAAAAATTGTTAAATGTTTGAAATAATAAACCACAAATGACATTAATTGGAACATGCGAAATTTTACTAACTATAACAGTATAGCCTAGCAGTTCTCTACCTTTTTCAGCTCATGTACCCCTTTCATCATTGCTAGATAATCATCCCCTCCTTTGCAAAATTTGAAAAGTATACATAGATTTATTTAAATTTAGATTATTTTTAATGCATTTTATAAACTAAATAAGAAAAAGAACAGAAAATGGTGATAAGTACCAAAAATGAAATTAGTTTTTTATATTCATAAATTAAAAGTAAATACTTAACAGGTAAATACAAAGCTTACTGCATTCCCCCCTATGAGAAACTGGTTGAGAACCCCTTGTCCAGAGAGATAGTATTTATTCATACAAAGAAGAAATTCATAACAAAAATTAAACTGCCCAGAGAAGAGAAGTGAATCATTTGAAATTTTAAGTTAAGCCAACCTTATATTAGCATTAATTTTATTGATAAACTCTTATGTATTTGTACAGACATTAACCCAAAGCTCCTTTTCTTCAAACAGCAAAATATTTGAAATCCTTTTTACCTTAAAAAGAAGAGATGCAGCCAATCTAAAGTTGAATTTTCCTTACTTTTGTAAATAAAGCTAAATATACTCTTTTCAGTTATAAAAATGCAGACACATTATTGCTTTAAGAAAACATACCTTAAGTATAGTATCTGAAACTGGATTTTCTGCATTCATCCTAGTAATGAAAAAAGATAAATAACAGATAATTGTTATATATTAATATAAAGTAATAATTTGACAAAACAAAAGTTTTAGAAAATAAATTAAGTGTGATTTAACCGCATTGTAAAATAATGCATTGAAAGCATAAAAAATAAAAGAAGCTTTGTTGTTTGTTTTACCTAAATTAAAGAATACAGACAGATGAAAATGACAGAATTAGTATGTTATTAATTGACACAGCAAATTAAACCTAAATTTTAAGTTACAACAAAAAACAGATCCACTATGAAACTGAATGCCTCTTTTAAATGTATCAATCATATAAATAAGTTACAAAGAGTTGCATATAAGCTTCAGAATATAATGAAGTAATTTCCATGAAGTAATTTAAAGAAGTAATTTAATTTTAGTATTTAAAACTCGGTCTACATTTGGTTTGAAAGAGCATCTCTGATAATCTGGAAACAAGTAAGAGTTTTAATTTTGGTTACAAAACACTGATTACAGTCCAAACTACTTTTCAAATTTATTGCATAAATATATATATATATATATTTCAAGTTAAAAAGATAAGCCTGAATAATAAAATTATAGTAAATAGAAAGACATATACACAGTTTAACTATGCAAAAACATGAAAGAAACAATTTATATACTAATTAGTTGAAATAAGGAGCAATTTTTTAATCCCTAAACATTTAGACTTTCAAACAATTGTTGACACAATTCTGCGACATAAGTATTTATTTTATAGTTTCTTCTCAAAATGTTGCAAAGCTGCGTGTTCATTCTATGCCTCAAAATTTTATTTTGGCATGTAACTTCAATTACAACAATGGAAATGAGTTTTCCAATTATGACGCCTCCATCACGTGTGCAAATTCTCTGATTCTGTGAAGAATATAACATGAAAGTCTAAAAAAATTGGCTGAAAAACAGTTATTTAGAACTGAACTTGTATTCTGATTGCTCATTGGGTGTAAAACTTCAGAGTACTTTGGTATCTGAGAGCATATGTTCCTTGTCACTGTTAAGCAAATATCACACAGTATTCATTTGGTATCATGACCTTAAAACTTCCTTGAACAGAACATAAACATGAAGATGTGTTCAAGCAAAGACTCAAGTATATGTTGCTACAAAACTGTAGTCATATGAGCTGTTAATGAGATATTTCCTTTTTGATAAAAAAAAAAGGCTAATTTATTAAATACTTTAGGCTTATGATGGTCAAAATCTCTGGGACTTTCAGTGGATATTCCCCTATATTAACGAACCTATGCTAAGGAAATGATTACCTATTTCCATTCCTTCTTTTTTACAGACAAAATTTGTCATGATATCAGTGTTAGGCAGATACCATCAGTTTGTGAAGCACTGGTAATTAAATGCTAGATTTGAATCCCAGCAGAAGAATGGACTGAGTACAAAGTTCTTTTTTCCTCTCTCTTTACCATGTGTAACAAAAATATGATTAGGTTTTGCTAAAAAATTCATTTACAAAAACATCTTTCCTAGGTAACAAGGCTTAACATACTGGGAACAGATAACGAATCCACTGATTACAAGATAGCTCATGTTTTCTACATGTTGTCTGTAGATGCCACCTGTTTTTATATATTGCTTCCATTGCCTACTTAGGGGTTTATATCAATAGTTAATGTATTAAAATAGATTTGCTTCTGTGCTTTTTTTTATCATTTATTTACCAGTTTTGATTGCAGACTGAATTTTGGCAATATCACTGTCTTTGACTTCAGGTTCCTCCTTGTGCTTTTAGAAATGACCTCTTTCAGAAAATGGAAGGAAATGAATGAAACGGAAATGCTTTTGGAAGTTTTTGACAATAATTTATCAGATGTCCCTAGTGAGACGGAAGATGAGGATAATTGTGTGAATGGATGTTTTGATGGCTGTGAGGATGACTCTAGTCACAGTGATCAAACCTATAAAGGTTATAGATTTCAATAACCTAATATCAAACCTATAAAGAAGCATATGGTGGCAATGCTTTAAAGTGATTCTGACACTAATGATGAAAGTGTTTCTGTTCTAGTTAATTTGTTTCATCATAATGATGACAATTAATGGTCTGAAATTGATATTCCACCCAGTTTACAAATGTTTGACGTCCATTCACTGCATTTCTGTCTCAGTATGACTCTACAGCCTCTGTGACTAGCCCAGTATTTCATGATGACTTTTTGAAATGTTCTAAAAGGGGTTACATACTTATCATGATCAATTGGTCAACAAATCCTCTAACAGTTACACCTACATTTTACAGACTATCAGCTACCATAAGATTTAAGAAAGTATGGACATTCTGATATAATAATGATAACACAACAATGGACAACAGCTCTGAGACTTTGTTAAAGTAGTGTACAAGAGTAACACAGGCCATATCTGCAATGTGTAGATTTGCACTGGTGAAGGGAAGAAATTGTTCTTCAAGTTCTTGGTCATTAACCACAGTATGTGATACCATATCTAGCATGACAAATATAACAGGGCATCTGCTGCTGACTTAGTACTGAATAACTACAGTCTGTAGGACTATTAGGATGAGAGAAGTTTACCACCAAGTCTGAAAACCAAAGCATTAAAAATGAAGAAATGTGACACAGTATTCTACAGAAAAGGTGGTGTTCTTCTCATACGGAAAGACAGGTGGGATGTCCGAATGATATTAATGATTCATGACACTTTTGTCTCAAGGAAAAACTTGAGAGGATATAATAAAACTTGTGTGTATAAATCAATTTAAGGCTCACATGAAAGGAGTTGATTGTGTGGCTCAGTCCTCTTTAACTGTTTTAGAATCTACAATGCCTTTAAACTAAAGAAAAAGATAAAGTACAAGCAGTTTCACTTTTTGATGCCAAAATACTGGATTACAGACAATGATAACCACGGATATATGTGTAGGGAGAGTGCCACGTACAGGTCCAACTGGGAAGTTGTGGGGTGACATGAAGCAGCATGAACCTGTGTTGGTTACAGCCGAAAACATCGCGGCAAAAACATCGCAGACGAAAACCTCGCGGAGAAAACAACGCAAGGCGAAAACGTCGTGCTACAAAACATCGGAGAAAACATCGCAGTTCAAAAACATTGTGGTCCAAAATAAAGCAGTTAAAAAACTTCACAGTTTAAAAACATCGTCGTCGAAAATATCGTGGTAAAAAATAAACTATCTACAAATCATCGCATGACAATAACATCGCAGACATCTTAATAACTGTAAATGGATATTCCCATAATGATTTGTGACGCAAGGAAAGGATAATTTTTACTTCCATATTTTTATTAATTAATAAATTTTTGCTGAGAAAATAAAAAGGAAACTTAAGCATAGAAAATTAATGCAACTTATAGCACTAATAGAATTTTAAAACCGACATTTTTAACTAACAACGCATTAATAATCATTTTTTATAAAGTTTACTGGTAATTTTCATGACAGTATAATCTATAAGTGCATTTCATTTTCTATGCTTAAGTTTCCTTCTTACTTATCAGCAAAATTTATTAGTTATAAAAAATGAAATTAAAAATTTCCTTCTTTACACCTTGCGCTCACAAAACATATCATTTACCTGAAAAAAAGTATGGCGATATCGTGCGATATTACTTTATTTTTACCACTTATTTTGACGACGATGTTTTTAAACTGCGAAGTTTTTGAACCGCTTTATTTTCGATGGCGATGTTTTCTCTTACGATGTTTTGTAGCACGACGTTTTCGCCTTGTGTTGTTTTCTCCGCAAAGTTTTCGTCTGCGATGTTTTTGCCGAGATGTTATCGGCGGACACCACCTGTGTTTATTTCAAGTAATGGAAAAAGGAAATTTCATATAAGAGTCTGTACACCTTGCACTCGCCAATTAAAAGTAAAGTGAAATGAGGTATACAGTCAAAAGTCGTTAATTCGGACACCCATGATCTGGACCTCAAAGCTACAACTTTCTGCGCATGCGTCGTGTTGACGCGTGCGCGTAAGACCTTTACAGCTGTGAATATGCATGTGTGCAAGCGCATAATACGTTTACGCATGCGCGTTTAATGTATACCGACGTATAGCTAAGCTAAATTACTACTTTTATGTGCAGATTGCGTTGTTCTTAATCTCAAATTGGATCTGGCTTATTATTTTTTACCAGACTGTTAGAGCATTTTATAAAAGTAAGCTGAACTTTCGATTATGTCAAATAAATTTCCGATATATATTACTAATATGTAAAGGATACAAAGCGAAAGTATGTTTGAAATCCGAAATCTGCTTATCAATTCACCACTGCGGCAGGGGGAGGGAGAAACGCCGAGGCTCGCATGAATGGAAGTGTCTGTCAGCACTATCCTACTTCAGAGCGATGTTTTTTTTATTTGCTTATAATCCTTACTAATGTGTTTTCATTCTCATTACTCCGTCGTTTGATATTATTTAAATCAGTTCCTCTCATATATTCGCTTCCGATATGAGAAGTGACAGAGAGGTATGAAATGAAAACATTCGATGACAAATCGTCGGTTCTCGACACAGCAATTATGGATTGAACAGCAACTTTGTAACAACACGAAATTATGTCGTTATAGAATAAAGAATGTATTCACATAAAACGAAGCAACTTACTTGAAGAACTTTAATAAGTAAACAAATAATATAAAGCTTTTCTTTTTGTAAATTTTGATACCCTTAGTCATATGTTTTATTTCATAAATTCGGTTCATATTTTTAATTTATAATTTTTCATGCATCTTACCAGATTTAAACTGAGACCTAAATCCGGAAAATCGATAATCCGGAATCACAAGGTCCGACGAGTCGGTTAAAACTTTGACTGATATGCATTTTTGAAGTTTCTTTTCATACAGAAAATGTCTTATGCAGAACCACACTTTAAAAAAGTACTAGGAATTTTTTTTAAGTATAGGCTCTATATTAAATATAATTTATATGAATAATAGAACATAACTGATAAGATTGTGATGTATATTTAAAATAACTATA